TGTGTGTGTGCTCGAGTGTTAGAGTGATGCGTGTGGGATATCCAGGGTGATCCAGTGTATGTGAACAGTGAGATGTTTGGGCGCTGAAGTCGCCATAGCCATTTGAGAGTGAACTCGTATCTGAAGCCATATCTCTGAGTTTTGAGTGGGCGCATGTCGCCAGTGTGCTGCGTTACTGTTTACATGCGTGAAAAGTGTGTTTGAAAACGAATCTGATTGCACCTGCGCCCCACTGCCCTGCAGCGCCCCTCCTCACCACTACGCGCCCCGACAGCGCCTTTGGCAGCAGCGCAGCATCAAGCGAGAGTGCAGCAGCATTTCGAATTGCCTGCACTGGCCAGAATGCCTGGCCTGGGCTGCCTCACTTCTTTTATGGAAGTGGCAGCCTCCTGGATGCTGCGTGTGGCCTGGCTGGAAGCTTCCAGTAGCTTCCGGATGGGCCTCAGACCCTGCGCCCAGGCCCGAGACTACAGTTGAGGGTCTGGGCCCTTTTCAGTTGGGCACGGCCTGAGTCTCCGGACGTGGGCTGTTTGCTGTATCTGTGCAGGGCTCCCAGGCAGGTGCGTAGGCAGTACTACTTTTCCAAAGTATCGGCCCTGCTTTGTGTGTACGTGCCCAGGCGCAACTGTCAAGGCCTGGGCCAACTGTATGACGCAGCTTAGTGAGGCTTACGCGTCTACCCAACCAACTGGCGTGCTGCGACAGCCTGAATACCCACATATGGAAATGTCGAATTTTGGCCTCTGACAAATATTCAGGCCCGCCTTCACTTAGGGCGGGCACTCGGCTTGCTGGGGGCCTTAGCCCAGAACATGTGATGTCTGATAGGGCCCCTTGACGGCTTGTTCCTCACAAATGGCCAAAGCAGCATCTGTAGATTCAGTACACATCTGCACACCTCTTTCACCAACGCTCCATTTGCAGAAATGTTAGCCAGATGTAAAAACTGAGACACTGAAGGAAAAGCCCTCGCAAGAACGAACATGAGCTCCACAGAATCTTTTTATTTTTCCTTTTTGTTCTTGTTCCTTCTGTTTTATCTTTGTTCGCATTCTGCCTTTTTCTTTCTCGTATTTTCCTTCAAACTTTGTCTTCATGGGCTGCTAACAATTGAAAGATCACTATTCATGTCCACCACCGCCCCTCGTTCAGTGCTGAAGCAGCAGAAGCTGACCTGCTGCAAGATGCTATGCGCTCGTTCATCGGCATGCAATGAACAGCTAGCTAAAAAAGCCCTCGAAAGGAAAAACGATGGTAGATCCGATCCATCCCGCGGACTTCAACCCAAGCTACCTCCATATCGGCGTGCAGCTAACCATGTACCCAGAATGACATCCTCCCACAGCCCCACAAAAAACCGCTGGTGGGGGAACGCGAGGTCGGCTCCGCAGTCCCGTGATGCAGCCTGAGTTGCGTCCCCACACAGGGCCAGGTGAAGACCGCAACGGTTCGTGTTTGCCCGCCCGACAAACCCGGTCCTGTCATGACCGCACGGAGCAGAAATTGTGCTGGGCTCGCACAGACACAGCACACACACACGTGCATCTGAGGGATGCGGAGACAGGACTCACAACGCACGCACACGTGTCCAAATGGAGGAGTAGGGGGGAGCAGGGGTGGTGACGCGACCGTGCAGACGCACACAGCACACACACATCCGACGTGAGGAGGAGGCGGCGGGACAAGGACAATTATGGCAGGAGGAGGATCGCAGATGGAGGCAGCACAGAGAGAAGCAACCCTGACGACGATGACAGTGGCCATCTTTTTCCGTTTTTTTGGCCACTTCTCGATCTTTCAACATGTGCGATGCCGAAGTTTTTCGACTATGCGTGTTGGAGCTGCTACTCTTTCTTCCCCCGAAAAGGGCATACAGTCATCATTGCCGAGAGCTATAATGACCACCCGTTCTATTTGTGGTAAGACACCAGTGCATTCCTATGCGTACATGTATGGTGGGAGATCATCGCACTGCAATAAGACTTGCCTTCAACTTGACTTTCAACATGCATACATGCAGGTGCCGATGGCAGAACAACTTATTCGACGTAGGATCAACAACAAGAGTGAGATGGCGCAGGGCGCCCACACAGAAAACTCAGAGTTATGCCCTGCAGCCAGGGACTCAGCTCAAATCAACTTGTCACATCTTGTGTTTATGGCGTCTGAGCGCCAGTCTGAAATTCCCACCTGCACACTGTATCCACCATCAGACTCACTCCACTCACGCACACACATACACATGTACTAGGATCTATCCTGAATGACAATGCACACACACACACAGACATATATATCCTATCTGCTACACTGGCGGCTATGGCCGCCATCGTCTCCCTCCTACTAGCGGCTATGGCCGCTTGCCCTCTTCCACCTTCGGGCACTGGCTGACCACCGAAGTCACTCGGGCAGCACTTCCACGTAGTCCACCACCAGATAATGAGTGAATGGCTGGCCGCTGCTTCTTTATTTATACTGTTTCGTTAGGTGCTCTGGGCCTACCCGCTGTCCCGGGCCCGTAGGATGTGCAGTCCCACTCGGTACTTGCTGACTAGACTAGGACTGGGACTGTACGTTGCTGACTAGGCTAGGACTGGGAGTGTACTTGCTGACTAGACTAGGGACAC